TTTATCATAAATCTTTTTATCTCAAATTCTTATGATTATATATATATATATATATATATATATGTATAGATTATTTTATTAAAATATCCAAAGTGGAGATTATTAATAATAGCTTATATTATATTAAATGATAAAATTCTTGAAAAATCACTTTACCATACCAAGTATATCTGAATAAAATGGAATAGTAGAAAAAATAAACATGATCTTGTTGGAAAAGACATGCAACATATAATGTGAGGCAATAGAAGAGCTTCTATTTTGAAGTTGTAAATAATATATGCTATTTGATGAATCTCTTATTATATTCTATAATTCCATGTAAAATTCTAAAATAAGTTTAAAGTGAAAAGCTTGTTGATTACTCTAAACTTCAAGTATTTGGATGCCTTGCATATATTTATATCTTAGATGTATAAAAGAATAAGTTATATTCAAATGCAAGGAAGTGCATCTTTCTTAGATATGAGAAAATTATAAAGAGATATCAAGGTTGAGATCTTATTGTAAGTATGATCATTATTACCAGAGATGTAATATTTGATGAGACTCTATTATGGAATACTTATAAATATAGTATATAGAAAAAAAATGTAAGTAAAGTTGCAATAGAAGATGTTCAAATAAAGATGGATGTTTTAGTATCTTCTAAAAATGAGGAGATAGTCTTAAATTTGAATGGTAAATCTAATAGTGATAAAGTATCATAAGAAAGATTTCAACTTTATAGATCACAAAGGATTTATAGAATCCTTAACAAATATAGATTTGCACATATAGTTGCATTTGCATTGGCCTAAGAAAATGATGAATCCTCAAATTTTTAAAAAATAATAAAAGACAAAGAATACTATAGATAAAAAGATCACAATATTAAAAAAAATAGAGTCTTTGCACAAAAACAAGACCTAGACATTAGTGCCACTATCCAAAAATAATAAGATAATTTGTTGCAAATGTATATATAAAAAGAAGAAAATAGCTCTAGAAATTGATAGAACTAAATAAAAAGCTATACTAGTGGCAAAGAAATATGCTCAAAAAGAGGGAATAAACTTCAGTAAAATCTTTTTACCAATGACAAAGATTATTTCTATATATTATTTATTATCTATAATAAATAATATAGTAGCAATATTTTATTTGAAGTTGGAACAACTTAATGTCACTACTACATTTTTGCATAGTAAATTAAATGAAGATATCTACATATACTAAACTGAAGGATTCATAGTTCCAAAAAAATAAGATCTTAGAAAAAAAACATTGATAAGATATGAATTTGATACTTTAATATTTGATTGTACATGTAAGTATAGTCCATAATAAGAACAAAGAATGAAACAAAGAAATTATAAGATTTGTAGATGCTGATTTTCATAGACATCTTAACAAGAGAAGATCAACCACAAAGTATGTATATTTACTTCTTGGTGGACTAGTGAGTTGGAGATTGATGCTACAAAAAATAATAACTCAACCCACAATAGAAGTTAAATATATGGCTGCTGCAAAAGTTACAAAGGAAGCTATGTGGTTAAAGTAACTTATTAGTAAACTTAGATTAATTTAAGAATATATATATATATATATATTTTGTGGCAACCAAAGTACAATTCATCTTACAAAGAAAGAGAAGTTCAATGCTAAGACAAAGTATATTGATGTCAAATATCATTACATTAAAGAGATTATTAGTGATGGCAAGATTTTATTATAAATGATTGGTACCAAAAAGAATGCTAATGATATATTCACTAAATCTATGCTTGTTGAAAAGTTCAAGGTTTATTTGAATTTAATTAATTTAGTAGAATGTTAGAAACTCTATCCTATTAGCTATGTTGAATAGTTAAAATACAAGCTGAGATGGAAATTATTGATAGTAGCTTGTATTTTATTAAACAGTAATATCTTTGTAAGTTTTTGGACTAATTCCAATTAGGGGTTCAAGAAGACAAGAGCCTCCTTCATTGGAATACAAGACTTTGGTCCATAGTACAAATCACCTATAATATGGAAATATAAATGCTAAAATATAAAATTAGACTTAAGATTTTTGATTTGAAAGGCTCAATAAGATATAGTTCCAACCAAATTTGGAATTAAGATTCAATATATTTAGGAAATTTTTTGTAGTACAAAAGTGAGTCCAAAATAAGTATGTTGTACCTTAGAGGTATTATCAATAAAGCTATGAGCTATAAATTCCTCATGTAGATATAGCTTTGGAAGAAGTAAACTACATACACAATACATTTGTATATATCTAATTTTTTTTTTATAATTTTTATCATTGTGAATGTGTAATTTACTTTTTATAATATTTATATTATATATAAAAAATATCATAAGTGAAAAAAATAACTAGTTTTTTTTTTTTATATAATATTTATTGCTATCATAGACTACCATAGAATATTATATTATATAAAAGAATTTAATTTGTATCTAGGTTTTAAATAATTCTTTTCAAAATATTGAAGGTAGACATAAAGCTATCTTTGGCCTTCTATTGTCAAACTGATGGACAAACATAACAAATGAATCAAGTTTTTGAGCAATTTTTGAGATTTATAATCAACTGCCATTTAGATGATTGGACAATTCTTTTGCCAATTAGGAAAGTATGCCTATAATAACATGGTACATTCTTCTTCTTAACAATCACCTTTCTATGTCGATTATGATTATCATTCATAATTTGATACTTTTGATATTTTAAAAGTTGATAATCTTATGGCAAAAGATTCAGCAAATTATTTATCAAAGCTACATGCGATAATGAAGGCACAATTAAAAGAAGTTTAAGAACAACATAAGATCAATATATGTGTATTATAAATAAAATATTAATTCTATATAAAATAAAGAGCATAAATGGTTGGTCTTACTTTGACTTATTAGTATTATAATTTTTTAAATTAGATTTTAATTTGAAATTTTTTATTTTTATTATTAAAAAAAATCAAAAAAATCAAAATCAAAATTTAATAGACAATGAGAATTAAGTGGTAAGTTTTTGAAAATACTTCAAATTAATCTAAAAAAAAAGTCAAGAAAATAAAAATGTTCTATTATTTTCTTAGATAACTTATAAAGAACTCATAACTTTGCCAAACTTAGTATGAAAGTACTTCAAAACAATGTCTCATCTATCAACTTATTAGCACTCCAATAGACTTCACTATTAAATCAAATTTTCTTATTTATTTGGAATGTCATCTAGTTCAAACATCATTCCTATAAAGAGACTACATTTATTTGGCTTGTGTTGCACAAAGATGTGGTAATTAACACTTGGAGAAATAAAACCAACCATCATGTTGATATTCACTATACTTTGTGTTACTCCTAAAAGCCAAAATCTATTCTCTTTAGGTTCTAGGAATGACATCAAGCCCATAATATTTAGAATAAAACCACATCTAATCTATTCAAATTGACATCTAACTCTTAGAAATGATGATCATAGAAATCCTTTACTTGAAAATAAGCCATTTTTACTAAAAATTGATCATGTCAATTTAAATATTTTTGTAGTTTATAATTTTTGTGAAGAGGATTTATTTATGAACTATTGGATATACAAAAATAAAATTGTATTTAAAAACAAAGCATGCAATAAGGTCTATATTAAAAACATGATTTGAGAATAATTAACTGAATTAAGACAAAATAGTTAGAAGTTTGTCAAAAAGAAATTAGCAAAGCACTCACAATATGAGACTATTATTCTCAAGAGATGAAAAACAGCATGGATGGTGAAACATATAATTGATTCTAGATTGGATAAGATAATTAAATGGAATGTTAAAATATCTTAATGTTGTGTGATCTTATAGGAAAGTATAAATGAATTAGGTCTGATAGTTGTTATTTTCTCTTGGTACTCTTGTCTTTGTTTTTTGGATATGATTTTAGTTTGGTATATTTTTTTTCACTTTATCAATGCATTGGCTATATTCTATTTTTTCATCAAATAATAAAATAAAATCAATAGAAAACAATATCAAATGAAAATAAATAAGTATAATCCTTGAAATGACACTAATAACTTTTAGAGTAGTAGTAGTAAATCATTTAAAATAAAATAAATTTCATTCTTTTAATTTTGCAATATTTAAGAATAATTTATTTTGTAGATGTAAACAAATTGTATATTATTAAAGTAAAGTATAAGAATGAACAACAAGTCTTTATAAGTCTTAAATATAGAAGAAAATATTTTTCTAGAAAACAATATGTTAGGATGAAACTACTAAGTGATTTATCAACATCTATAATAAACACAAATACACATGGACACCTTCTTTGCTTTAACAAAGTTATTATCAAAGAAGGTATTTCTAATAGAAAGTTCAAAAGATAATCCAAGACACGGTTTTTAAGAAGAAAAAAATGCATGTATTGGATATTCTTTTTATTTTTCTAATTTCTAACTAGGATGTTATAAGAACATGGGTATAAATATATAACTTTTTATTAAAAAAACAAAAAACATGCTTCTATACTTCTATATATTGAGGCATGTTTTTTACAATACAAATCCATGAGACCACTTGAGATTACTAGGATATGTTAGAATTATTATTATTATTATTACAATTATGTGCACACATGAGTGACAGGTAAAGTCGCATTACACATTTTCTTCTCCACTTCACCTTATTTCCATCTTGAGTGAACTCTATTCTCATGGTGGCTACGACCTACCATTACATTCAAAAGAAGGCTGGATATCAGAACTGCAGAAGGGTAAAGGCGCAATGGAACGAGGATTGGCCGGATCTAAATACAATAGAACATGGTTTGAACATGAGTTCCTCTACTTCGTTCCAACGTCATGATTTCTCCGCGTTTGACACTTATATTATACGCATTTCTTCACACACGATCTGTATCGACTGATGATTGGTAAATCTTTTCAATAATACTTAAACTTAGTAAAATAACAAGATAATCTTACAAACACTGCAACATACAATAGTGCAGCATGGTGCTTTAGGAGGAAAAAAAATCTCCAATGAATTGAACTCTTTTTATATTTTCCAACAAAGAATCCGGAAGAGGACCAGAACTCTCCCAACTGGGCTCCATTAATACTATTATCGAAAAACTCCACGCCATGTGTGCGTACCTAAATGCTTGCGATGCGTTCCCACTCTTGACTGAATACCGAATTGCCTCACCAGATTGGGAATGGAAATAGCTTTCACCAGATAAGGAAATGGAAATAGCTTTCACCAAGGGAAGGAGCCCTTTAACAGTAATGTATAACATAGATCACACGGGACTAACTTCCGATGGTGAGATCAGGTGTGACAGGTAGATTAGTATTTGTAGCGTCTAATTCAGCTTGTCTTGCATCGGCTGCATTCCACCGCTTTGTGTAAACATCCCATTCGTATCTGCATCTCGCTCGCACCTGCAGGGGTCAGATAAATTGTCAGTGTACCAGAGAAGTTCAAAACCATGCTTGAAGGACAATATAGGCCAATATACACAGATGAGGTCGAGGACAACTGTGAGTGCTTACTCCTTCCCATGGGGCCCTTCCTCCAGTTGCTTCGCCCTGTGAACAGAAAAAGCCTTAGATACTGTGGGAAAACGCTAGATCAGGGACAAACATAAATATCCGAGAATTCATAACTAATACGAACTGAGCTACAAAAGGCCGCATTCACTTAGAAAACTTAAACTGCCTCGTTATTCTTGTAAAAAGAGAATTCAGTTCCTCATGTTGAATTCAAGTTGCGGTAAGGTCATCAAGATCAAAAGACATAATCCAAGCAAAGCGACGGCGCTACACAAAATGCGCTAAGTGGGCTACCTGATTTCCGAGCGACGGCACACCAACATGTATAATCCACTGTTCATCCACTACTCCAATTTTCTCATACGCAGGCTGCATTCAAAATGCATGATGAACTTAGAGAGCAGTCATACAGGGAATAAATTGAAGATCAAAATTCCGTCATAACTAGCTGACTGGCCATGGATTTAACAAAGTAATTCTCGGAAACTTCATTACCTCAACACAACGACGCAAGCTGAAATCCAGACCCCAGCCATGTACCAAGTCGTTCTGTAACCAGGAACAAGAATAATAAAATTAGATGAAAATCCTCACTCCAGTGTTCCGTCTCAGTTAAAGAGGACACATCATTGAAGGTCATAGTAATGTACCTGTATTATGTACCAGATGCAACGCCATGCTTTTCGTGAAAACACAGGAGCCATGATCTCAACAAATCTGCAGTATTAAACAAGAAGTAAATACCCAACAACTAACAGACAGTAAATTTCAACGACCAAAGGAGGAAGGTAAGACACGAATCACTAACTAAATACAGGTTGACTTATTACCCTGCACAGGGAGGCTTGTGCGGATCTGGACACCAACCAGGATGCTCCACTGCTTCCCTGGAAAATACAGAAGGTTTTACTTACAAGGTTAATACCCAATTTACTTTGGTTTTCCTAATAATACTTCAACTAATTGTTCAAGATTTCCTATTCCAATAGGTTACGCATATTTCTAATCTATAACAGCTTGTGGATGGTGACAACATGCTAAGCTGACGTCCAAAAATTACCCCAAGAAGACCAACTAACATGAATACAAACCCCAAAATCCAGAAATCCATGGAATAAATTAACTACACGATCTCTAAGAAAACAGGCTCCTCACTTATACACTTAGCATGAACAATTACAATGAAAACATAAATGGCACCACTCAAAATATATCAGCACACCACATACTTGTGAACCTCAACGTCGCCCCGATGCTTAGTCATTGCCCAAGTGGTGCCTCGGGAACCATCCAGTGATGGTTGTGAAACTTCAAGGCCGTGCTTCTCAACAAGTTCTATGTATCTGCGAAGCCAGTCCACCCGTATCAATAAATCCAAAATCTTCAGAAGTTTCAAGTCTCACTTTTCTCTTTGAGAGCAACCGCGAAAAGGAATCCTTCTAAAACATGCGTATGAGGCTTTACTAAATCGACGAATGAGCTAGTCGGAGTAATATACGGCAGATGTACTTGCCTCTTAGGATTAAAATGCCTCAAATCAAGATCCTCATCCCAAATGAAGATGTACTCATACGGCGCCACTACATCGGGGTGCAAAAACCGCTTGGCATACCACCTATAACAGCAAACAATAATCAATAAATCCGATTCCGAAAACAAAAAAAATAAAATAAAAACAAGCCAGGAATTATTGTCGGATCGGGTGTCTAATCAGATCAAGTTTCTAACCAAAGCGGCAAACACATACATGCATAGAAAATTATTCTGATGCATACTTCTCTAAACAGCATGTCACCAGTGATGAAAGTGCAAGCAGAAATACCACTTCGCTTGTCTACGAGTGCTTATATGGATAGCGTTTCGCGACCACTCGTAATCGTCCCATTCAGACACTTTCCCATCATAATGGAAAAGCAATATTTGCCATTCCTTTGGGAACTGCAAGTCCACATTATAAACGAGAACTGAGTACCCTCATTTTCGCCACGTACCAATCTAGTGTTTCGGTCTCACAGGCTCCAATGAACAAAAAACGAGACCAAAGATACATTTACCAACAGATTTCAGACCAGAGCTGCATGCTAAAAATAATGAAAGTATTGTGACATCATTTCTTTACTGTAGTAGAAGGCGCTATTGATGGGAGACAATCTGCACTTAGCCTTATATGCTAAACGTCCATTTATCAAATTGATACAACACACACACAGGACGTTCATAAATTTTTAATGCCATACAACGAAAGCCGAGATAAATTGACGTCAACTATGCATTTCGTGACGGCTGCTACGGAATTCCAAATAACTCACTTTCTGAACTGCCTCGTTAACAAATGCCTTTTGACCAACACCAACAGTAAGTGCCAAAAGATATTTCGGTTTCTCTGGTAGATCCTGCACAATAATCATTTTGATATTACACAGTGATCCCAAACATTTTTCTTTATTAATTTTTACATTTATATACTGCGGATGAGACAAGGCACACCGCTCCAGAAAAACGGGAAGGTTAGGATCTGCACCAAAACCAGTCAGGGCACAGTCTTATCTCAATGGATTCATGTCATCAAGCAAGAAATGAACTCACACTCAAAAACACACACACACACACACACCCTCATCATACCTCTTCAGGTTTCCCCCATAACCTACGGGGAAAGAGGTCCGATTCAATGTGGATGATGCCAGGCGGAAGGGATTCCGTTCCCTGTGGTCTACCTCTAGTGCATGTAGCCGGTTCCATTTCCTGTCACCCACGTTTTTTGTACAAGGCAACATGATTATGCAAGCACGTGGGCAGTGATTTCAGGATGAAGCTCCAACACTTGCTGCTTGTGTGCGGGGTCAACTTTATTAAACACTCCATTCGAGCAACCACTACCAAGCACAACATTTGAACATATCTGAACCTGACAATTTATGTTGAAATGAGCTAATCAAATAAATCGGAGCGAGAGTTCAAAGGAAATTTTATATGAAAATGAAATAATGAATAATAAGAATCTTACCCTAGGAGCGTCGGGTCGAAAATCGAGATACGAAGGCAGCTGGGTTTGAGTTGATGGCATTCCAAGATTTGATGTAGCTCCATACTGTAACAAACCCTTCTCACGTTAACAAAGTGATCACATTCAAGCTGTGAACTCGAATTCTAGTTGCAAGGAAAGAGGTGAATCCAGCCTATGTTGGCAATAATGCAACTGTGGTCCTTCTATGAAATAAGAGAGGTGGGAGATATGTAACTCGTAACTTTCCTGCATCAAAAACATGCTGACGAATGCACCAACCAGTCCACCAAATAGCATAGCTATTATCAGCTTCATCGTGTCTCTGGGCTTAGGAGAAGCCACAACCAATCCTCCACTATAAACCATTCAAACAGCAACGAATTTTTAGGTTAGAAAAACCAATCTTCGGTAAATCAAAAAGGTGAACGAGAAGGCATAAGATGTACCACATACTCACTATCAACGCCCTGATATGCGCAATCCATCATAGCTGGACTAAACTCTCTCGGTCGTAGTATCTATGCTAGGGAGAATTTTAAAATGAAAAGATTTAAGCCCGGCTTGCCTGAAATTCTTTTACCTTTTCATGAATAGCACAGCCCTACGAAAACCAGCCTCCTAAGCCTAAGAGTCCAACCTTTACTGTTGCCTTCAAAACCAACTCACGCAGAGAATACAGACCACCTGTATCATCTCCCCGCAACAAGAAATAAGTAAAGAAATCCGGAGATGTGTGATGACTCTGCACATTACTTTAGTTCACAGCAAATGATCCTTCCTTAATAGCCATGCCATAATGCAGCAATATACAGTGCATAACGCTTACAAAATTAACTCCCTCCAGAACGAAGCCAATCAATAGCAGCCTTTCAGTGATAACAACCGAGTAAATGAGCTCCGGCAACTAGACGAAGGCCTTGTAACACCAAATTCATGCGGTAACCGGTTGGATAGTTCCTAGAAATCCGGCAACAAATTTCAGCTTCAGGCTGTCCACCTAATAGCTAAGAGGAAGTAATTCACGACAGATTTCTCTGAATCGGCACTTCTGGATATTCTCCAACTAGCACTCCATATTGAATCTTACTATCATTCCAGCCATCATATCTGATCAAGATAAAATGAACCTATTTCATCTTCCCATCAGACGCTAGCTTAAAAAGTCCAAAGTGTGGATATGTAGTAAATTCCGAGATTCAAGAACCAGTGGGCGGATCTTGCCAACCTGATCCCCGCACGAGGAACAACGAACGCGTCGTGGAACAGGAAAAAATTTACCAAGAGAAATTGAACAAACAAACTTGACAAGCAGCAAAAAAAAACACCTAAAGCTTACTTCACCATCAGAATAGAGAACCTCTAACATAACCTGCACTTACTTAGCTCATCAACGCCTATCACCCAGGGCAGATCAGGGAGAAGCTCACTTACTTGCTCGATCCGTTGGAGTGTTGATGCAACAGGAGGACGTCTCGACAACAAACTCCTTCAGGGCATTAGTCGGAGACCCTCACGAGCAAGGATCTCAATTCAATCGGTGACGCGCACTCTTTCAAACCAAAATCAGATTCAAACAGTAAAAACACCAGGGCGCAAGTACGTAGCGGGAGGCAGGAAATATCAACCGACCTCAACCCCCTCCTGCAAACACACAGACACGGATCTTTCGCATCATCAAAGGTACGGCGCAACCGAAAGAAACTGCCCACAAAAACGCTCCTATCCCTCCTCAGGCCGTGACTCCTCTGCCTCCCCCTCTCCCGCCAGGGCACTGTAATTCTATGTCGCCATGCCCGAACTTACAGATCGCTGAAAAAAGCAACCATGATGAACACTCATCCACCTATTCAACTCCCCAAACCTCACGCTCTCGGCCGTGCACTGGGAGCTGGGAAGCACGAACCTAATCGTCACTAGAACGTCACATCAAGCACAGCACTCAATGCCTTGACCTCTTAAAGTCACCGACGAGCGGCATCCGGCAGGCTAGCAAATGTTCTCACGCCGCGATTTGTTACAAAAACCAAACAATCAATGAATCCATCCACTCGCAGTGCAACATACCTCCTCCAGACAAGAGGCGGAATAGCGGGCAATCTCAGCGGCTGGAATGAACTGTCCGATGCAGACATTCGTTCCTGCACCGAAATGAAATTAAAAAAAAAAAAAAAAAAAAAAAAAACACACACACAATTCTGATCCGTGTGGATACGGCAAGCTGCGCTGAGTGATGATTAAGCGCCTGGCGATTTCTAATCATGGCAAGCGGGCGGGGAAAATGAATCCGGTGAGCTAACAGTGGCGCTGGAAACAGGGCACGCGACCAGGAGGCTCAGATGATGCTCCGTAGCGGCATGAGGAGGAGGAGGGGGCTGCCCCTCCTGCTCTAAACCCCCTTCATTACCCTTAAGTGCCTTAATCGCGTGCTTAGGGTTTTCATCCACCACGTCGATGGATGATGGCCTCTAGTTGGATGTGAATCATCCGTCTGTTCCCCGTCGCGTTCCCAATCCTTCCTTGCGAGGGTTCCAACTTTGGCATCTGGGGCACCTGATGAGCAAGTAAGCTCAAGGAGAGGACTGAACTGGTACAAACCACTTGGTTAAGGGGGTACAGAACAACCATGAGGAAGATGAGTGTGGGATACTTATAACAATAATAATGCTAATGATGATTACACAAATTTGTAGTGAGAAATGGGGCGAGTTCAAAAAAAAACATTCTAGAGTTGTCAGAGGAAACATGGCCTTCTTCTTGGTTTTAAGTGTTTCATTGTTGATTTTTAATGTTATGAGAATGCTGCAAAGCTCAGTGGATTTATATTTGCTTACATCCAGAAAAAACACAAAAGTATAAGATTTCAGAAATTTGAAAAAACAATATAAAATATAGATATATATATATATATATATATATATATATGTTCGTATATATATATGTACATATATAAAATTTAGAAATTAATGCTATATATATAGGAAAAGCATTGATCTTTATAATGAAATAAGAAAACTCACATGATTGACTTTAACATCAATTAAAATAATTGAAGCACATTTGTCACCCAAGTACAAACTGATAAACATTTTAATCGAAATTATAGCACTAAAAACAGAATGTTTGCATATGAACATGAAAAAAATAGATGCATCAAAATAAAATAAGATAATAATAATAATAATAATAATAATAAAATTTTCTTTATTTTAGATTTGCATTATTTTTGAATTTTTAATCATTCTAATCTATGCTTCCAAATGAAGGAGTTTTCAGCAATCTATGCATATGGAGTTATTATCTATGCTTCATCAAGACTGCCTGTGCTAAAACGCAAAATAATTATAGATGATACTTTAAGATCTCACTGATACTTTTAGGGCCATGGGCACATTTTAAATAAAGGTGCACAACAATTTAAAATAATGTAAAGTGTATAACATTATATGTTTAGGATAAGAGTATTTGAAGATGTACAAACTACTAGTAATTAAGTTAAACATGAACCAACTTAATGTTTAACATAATTATTAGTAGTTAGTTCAATACAACATCAAGTAATACAAAGAAGAATAGAATATATTAAATTTAACTAGAGGAATTTGGGTTTTTCTTAGGGAAGAGGTCGGAGAAATTTGTAGGTAAGCGAGCGATGGCTGAACATGTGCTGGACAGACAGAGCACTCATTTATATCAAGTTCGGAAGAAGGTGCTGGAGATGATGCGTGATCTCGACTACGTTGTGGCGGATAACGAGCTGACGCTCACCAACGAGCAGTTTTGTGAGAAGTATCGAGAGGACCCGAAGCAAGAGGATCTCATGATTCTGAAACCGAAGAGCTCCAACAACGCAGAACATGTAATGGTTTTCCATGAGTTTTTTTCCCCTTTCCCTACACTGTTATCCTTCTGCTGTGCTGCTCATGATGTAGCAGCGGGTGTTGAATGTCTTGCTTCCAGATTTTTGTGTTCTTTGCCAAAGGGGCCAAAGACGGGGGGGAAGGGGAGAGTTGGGTTGAAAACCATCAAGACTTGTAAGAAACGCATGAAGAGGGAGAACGTCCCTCGGGCTGTATTTGTTGTGCAGCAGCACATTACACCCCTTTCAAAACAATACATCAGCAGGAAGGCACAGAAGTACCACTTGGAAGTTTTTCTGGTTAGTCCCGTCACCTACAGTGGCAATGTAATCCAGTCGCTAGTACATATTTTGATGTTATTCTGAAGACCAGTTCTTATTCTGGTTAGAACGACGATTGAGATGAGGGGTTTGTTTGCACAGGAACCAGAGTTCCTAGTGAATATCACAGAGTGTTATCTTGTTCCATTGCATGAGATTCTGACCCCAGAAGAAAAGAACACTCTGCTAGAGCGTTACACTGAAGGAAACCCAGTTATGCTTGTCCTGGTTATCATATGCAATTGATTTAACATGGTTTTCTAGTTCCATTCATTCTACGCCAAAGTCTTCATGGATCAACGCCATCTTCTCTATTGTGCCCAGGGCTGGCTCCCGATGGGTATAGTACAGACACTATGGCAAAAGACTTTATATACATTTTCAGTGGATCTAATTAAATTGTTTGATTTCTTTGGCAGCTTCCCTGGATGCAACATAATGATCCTGTTGCACGATATTATGGAATTAACCCAGGCCAAGTGGTGAAGATCATCCAGTCCAGTGAGACTGCAGGTCGTTATGTCACATATCGGTTATTTGTGTGATTCGCCGAGCATATTTAACTTTTTTTGGACCACCATATATCTGCTTCATGGAGACTCAATTTGTGGCCTGAATCCGAGCATCTCAAAGTCTATTTTTAGATCCCGAAGTGGTACTAGAATAATGCTTTAGATAAATTCAGAAAATTTCTGGAGCTTGTTGTACTTAGATTCAACAGGTTAATTGTGGTGCAAGTATTCCGCAGCTGTGAAAACATACCCATAATTTTAAACCACCTGAGCGTTATGCCCAAAACTTTACAGCTCGCCTCATCAGGCATCTCGCTCTAGGTTTGTTCGGAGTGGTCATGACTTGAGAAGTGAGCAAACTGAACAAAAAGGATGATGATTACAATGAAGTATTTGCATGGGAAAAACTATCATCTACGTGAACACTGAAAGGATCTTGTAATAAGATCCACATACTGAACTTCCAGATATCACGAATGGAAATTTTAAAACTATTTCTGGTGAGAAAATTTTAATCAGCCAATTGACTTCAACCTCTTTTGAAAAGAAAATTGTAACTAGATGCAACAATGGTGATGTCATGCTGTGGAACGAACTAGGAAATCAGATAATTTGCCATTCCTTTCATCACAACCAAAACTACAAATTCTGATGCATACGCCAGTTCTAAAGATACATGGCATGAACAGAGAATCTGGAGAAACACATTCAATTGGCCTTAGTAAGCTCTTTCAACTGAGTGAAGGAAAATATGACAAACCCACTTCAATAGATGCGTGTGTTTGGATAGAAAGCAGGACAAACTCGCTGGCAAGTTGCTTTACGGAATCAAAAATACCAAATGCAGATCATCGACACCACTAAGTGGCTCTTTACCACCTGACGTCACTTGGTTGACCTATTATTATCTTAGGCTCCATAATTATTGTAAAAATGCTGGAATATAATCTACTTGATAGAATCCACGAAGTCAGCATGAGGTGCACACAGGAACAAATATAGCCCCAACAAAGGCGTGAGCTACAACAGAGGTGTTCGAGAGAAGTTACAAAAATTTATTCTTGTGCCGGTGAAATAATCAAGTGTTTGCAGGCGTCGAGCAAGAGCAAATTGGCGACGTGGGTGTTTTTGAAGCTTTTTAAAAAATGCTAAGTGATGGTATGTCAGTAGAAGCCAAGACTTCCTCCTAATAATGCTGACTGTTAAATACGCAGGAAAAAACAAAAAACAAACTAGCTTTCTAGGCTATCAGACACTGCAAGAACAATCCTGAACAATGGCAGATTGCAGTACCACATTGTTACAAATGTAAATGGCTACTGCTCACTGCGATTCTGAATGACTACGCGTCAACAAAATGAGTTGATTGACTCATCAACATCGGGAAGTCCAATCAAGTCAAGGTCAGTTGTTACATGGCTCGACACATTCTTTGATACCTGATTATCTTGACCTATTGTGAATACATGTGTCGGTTAAATATTATAAACAAATTGAGCCTGGATATACATAAATACAAATGCTTTTAAAGACTTAAAAACTTGCTAATGATACAAAATAGAAGTATTGATTCTAAAGGTTTAATACACCTTAAGGTTAGTGAATGATTGTATGAGTATGTTCAATTGATCTATTATGTGGAAATTTTGGATTCTAAAATATTGTTCTACTATGTCAAATTTCTAGCATCTCATTTGCTATCTAAAATCAATTCTAACTTTGTAGTAGGACTTAAAGTTCATCCACTTCTTTATCTAGTTTTTCTTTGATAAGGCTCTAAAATATTTGATCTTAATTAATAAGGCTTCACCAGATTTATGATCTTACTTATTTGTCTTATAATATTCTTTTAATAAAGGATGAATTTTTGCATTGCCTCTGTGTTATAAACATAAGAGTTCTTTTTTCAAAGATTATATTATTTTTTAGTCTCTTGAATTTAGATAGAATGTCTTAATGCAAAAATATATTGCATCCATGAAAAGATTGGCTATGGTCCAAATTTTCTAGGACTAGTGAGTAATTTGTGTATGATTGAAGTGATCCAATTCTAAACTCTTATGGCTATAGAAATTTATAAAACCTATAGAAAAATATTTTTGAAAAGTCCTAAGTTATAAAGTTGACAAAAAAAGATTTATTTTTTATTTAGTTATGCTTTCTTAGTATTTACTACTAAAATATGATGGTATATAAGTCAAGTTGAGATGAATTCTTTAAGATACCTTGGTTTGAATAAAAAAAATCTTCTACTTAAATTTGGAATTATCATCAAATTAGTCTCTTGATCTACTTGTAGGAAGGTTCTAAATTTTATGTTGTTTTTATAAAAGTTTTATGTTAATTTTGGTAGTAAAATCCATAATATTAATTCTTGCTTGCATATAATAAGTTTTTTGGTAAAATTTTCTTCTTGAAACTATATTAAAAAATATGTTTTAGTATCTTTTTTATTATTATTTGAAGCTTTTGACTTTATAACCACTATTATCACTTCTCTAAAACCTTTGATCTTTTTGTAGCTTAAACCTTAGAAGATAATTAGTCTTGTATTATTTAATAATAAAAGATAATTATTTAGGTGAAGAAGTCTTAATTTTTTTTAAAAAAAATAAAGTTAATTTTTATAAGATAAGACAATAGTAACTAATTATTAGAGTTATTATTCATATTGAATCACATAATTAAAAGAGACACATTGGCAAGAAGGCTTCATCAAAGTTGTAGAATTTTAAAAAATCTTTAACTTGAAAAAATTCAATTTTCTCTTCTACAAGAAATTTCTAAGAAATCAGATATTATTTTGATAAATATTTCTCAAAACTTAATTTGTTGCTTATTAGATCAAGTTTTTTTTTCTTGCCTACCAATTGTCAAGGATAAGAACTTAATAAAAACAAATAAACAAGTGAGACTTTTCTCAAAGAAAGATAAAAAAAATAGAAATAACTAAATATGTATATTAAGAAAGAAACTGGAATGGCTATTGCCAAAAGACAAGAAAACTAGAGACCCTTGAAACTAGACTAGAAGCAAGAAAGGAGTTGACAAGAGTAAAGAAGGCTTCACTCTTGCCTCTATATATACTATCTACCTAGGAGCTACGTGACGACGTTCTATACGACCTCCAAAAACATATTGACTTTGCACAACACGTATCTTAACTTGCAAGGTAAGTTTTCTATGTAGGCACCACATAGTTAACTTATTTTACAAACTACCAACATGTGTGGCACATGGTTAATTTGTTGACGAAGTTTCTAACCTATCAATCAAGTATAAATACATGTAAAGTCAAAGCAGTGTCTATGAAGCTTCTAGGAAGCTTTTCTAGAAGATATTATGAAATTAATCTACTTTTACCTACTTCTACCTATTCATATTATCTAGATAATAATTACATAAATATATGTCAGTGACATTACCTCCCCTTCTAGGGACGAGTTCCACGAAGAGTGGTGATCACATGTCAGGGAAGTCCAAGATGCGGTAAATTGTATTTGCCACATACTCTAATCTTTGTTCTCTTCGAAGATAATTGATAAGGCCTTTCAACCATCGATAGTGTCCCATACCAAGGCAAGAAGACCACCCAGCTATTTGATCATTGTTGAGGCCTTCATAACTTCCTTCAAATACAACATTTGGAACACCGTCAAGAGTTGTTTGTACCTCTAATAAAATTACCAAACATTGAAAGTCCCTTTCAAGATTGTGATACCAAATATATTATATCTTACCATTTTTTCGAGAAAGAATATGTTGTTCTTGAGGATCTTCATCTTGATTGTGTCATCTTGAAGGTTGTGGCAATCGTAATGTCTTGTTCAACAAGTCAACAAATAAAGGCTCTTCAATCAAACCTGCTAGTTATTGGTTCTCTATCTCCCTAGTATCACAACTATAAAGAAGCTACAAATAAGGATTGAAAGTAGAATGTTATCTTGCCTAGATCTTATTTCTTTTATAAGAAAGGTTTTCATCCTGATTTTGATAGATGTCATTGATAAAAAAGCCTCCACCATCTTTGCTGCATTTGCAAGATTCTTTACTAGCTCCCATGTGCATTCACTAATATCATATCCGTGCTATTGGATAAGATATTTTAATTTATTTTGGTGCCACCTTGAATCTAGGACTTCTTTCACTTCAAACACTTCATTATTTTCCACTTCTACAGGAAGAAGTGGAACTTGTCTTCTTCTTGGTATGTCTACTATCTTATATGGTTCAAGAAGAGACATGTAAAATATTAGATGGATTTTCATTGACTCCGATAGGTATAAATAATATGCAACTAGATTGATTTGTGCAGAAATAGAAAATGGTCTAAGTCTACGATAGTCCAACTTGTTACAGGGACGAGTGGTCTTGATATTATGATGAAGTAATCATACCTTGTCACTCGCATAGAATAGTCTTTTTTCCTTTCGATAGACATCTACATTGATCTTTTATTGTTCTTAAACTTCTTTTAATTGTGCATTCATTATTGTATGTAGCTTTGACAAATGATTTGCTAAATCTTTTGTTGCAAGATTATCAGCTTTTGAAAAGTCAAAAGTATCAAGTCGTGAATAGTAACCATAATTGGTAAAGAAAGATGTTTGTTTTATAGAAGAATGTACCGTATTATTATAAACAAACTGTGCCAATGACAAAAGAGTTGTCTAATCATCTTATTAGTAGTTGATGGTACATCTTAAATACTATTCCAAAACTTGATTAACACACTCTATTTATCCATCAGTTTGGGGATGGAATATCAAAGATAGTTTTATATCTACTTTTAGAATCTTAAAAAGAATTCGCCAAAATCTTGATACAAACTGAGTTCCCCTATTTGATATAATATCCTTAGGTAATCCATGATAGCGATAGATATTGTCAAGAAAGAGATTAGTTGTTTCTTCACCTATGATAGATTTTGTACATGGTAAAAAATGAGCCATCTTAGTAAAATGATCTATTATCACGAATGTAGAGTCATAAGCATATGAGATTGAAAGATTTGTACTGAAATCCATAGAAAC